TCGTAAGACGGCCAGCACGAACATGAACCACCGCATCGGCCGTGTTTAAGAACGGTCGGCCTAGTATAATCGGTATCTTTGAGTCCTCGTCCATGTCTAAAACAACAAAATCAACGGGAACATAATAATCCCCGACTTTCAATGGAACATCCTCGAGAATACCTGTAGGATACTTGACAGATCGATCCGCCAACTGTAGTGCCATCCTCGTCGGCTTGAGATCTCCAATGTTGAGCTTCTTATAGATGGATAATGGAAGCAAGCTTACACTGGCACCCAGATAGCACAACGCATGGTCAATCTCAATGTTTCCGATTTTGCAAGGAATCGAGAAACTGCCTGGGTCTGATCTCTTCCGTGGTAACTCATGCTGCAAAATCGCAGCACTCACTTCGGTGCTCAGGGCTACTGTCTCTTTCCCGATCACCCTCTTCTTGGTCAGAATGTCTTTCAGAAACTTTGCGTAGGAAGGTATCTGGAGCATGGCCTCGTAAAAGGGAATCGTGACTTCCATCTTCTGAAGCATATCAGCAAATTTCGAGAATTGTGCATCCTCTACATGCTTCTTCAACCAAGAGGGGAAAGGAAGGGGTGGTACATAAGGTGGAGGAGCTACATAAGACGGTTCGGCTTCCTCTACATGCACCTTAGGTGTACCGGATGTCGTCCCTTCCTCTACCGTGGTAGGAATCGTCTCAGGCAAGTTCTTTCCGCTCCTTAGCTCAATGGCATTGATGTGCTCTCGTGGATTTGGTTCTGGCTTTCCAGGAAACGTGCCTTGCGGTCTAGAAGGTTGTGACACAAGCTATGCTATCTGCGTATCTACGAGCTTCATGTGTGCGTCCATCCCGTCAAGTCTTCTTTCAAAGGTGTCTTGCCTAGCTCTAATGCTCTGCACCTCGGTTTTTAGCTCAGTAAACGACGTCTTTTGGTCGAGCATTAGCTGGGCGAGCATCGTCTTGATGTCTGCTTCTTCATTCTTTGCCGGTGGAGGAGCTCGGTAACCTTGATTCTGCTGCCCGTAGCCTGGATTATGTTGCACATATCCCTGATTCTGCCCCTGAAAACGTGACTGAGTGAAGCCCGGGGAATTCTGAGGGATTCTGGAAACACCTTGCTGTTGTGCATTCAATGCTCCGCTTGGGTTTCCGTAGGAGAAACCAGGATGATTCCTAGGCGCGTTCGGGTTGTAGAGATTAGAAGGATTCTGGTACTGATTCCTTCCAATGTAGTTGACGCCCTCAACCGGTTCTTTCCGTTGATGTGGCTTGATCAACCAAAAACATACCAGGCTGGATTTTCTGCGGGTTAGACGTATTTTTGAGTCCCATGTGCTGCTTGATCGCCGATAAATCAGACATGACCGCTTTCAAAGCAGCAGACTAGCCCAAATCTATCCGTCCTGTAGAGCGTCTGATGCTGTCTCCTGACATCCCTCTTGCTTTAGCCATCTTCGCAATCTGCATCTCTAGGGTGTCAAAGGGAATGTCATATACACTCCCTCCACAAGCTGCGTCCATCCATGCTCTAGTGTCGTCTCTCAGTCCGTGGATGAACGTGGAAAGCAACAGTCGCTTATCCATGCCGTGGTGTGGACAAAGGCGCTGATAACCTTTGAATCGCTCCCATGCGTCGTATAGACTCTCATCACTCTCCTGAGTGATGCTTTGTATTGCTCTCTGTGCGGCCCGGGTCTTCTCTGGGGAATAGTATTTCGCCATGAACTGCTCCTCTAGCTCTTCCCATGTCGTAATCGAGTTCGACTCAAGGGTGTAGAGCCAATCTCTTGCCCGATCCATCAGCGAAAAAGGAAAGGCCTCCAAGTATACATCCTCGATGGTCATTCCTGTGGCTTCCTAACTGATCTGCACAACATCTTGAACTGAGTCAAGTGAGCAATAGGATCCTCTGTAGGCCGTCCTCTGAAACTCGTCTGACTGAACATCATGATGCACTGTGGCGGGAGCTCGAAACTGTCTATGGGCGGTCTGTTGATGCATGATAGGAGTTGGGTGTGCTTCGGTGCAATGTAAGAACCCAAAGTCTCCTCTGCAACGTATGTAGCTTCGCCCTCGGTCTGCTGATCATAGAGCGGGTTCATGTGCTCGTGGTTCTCGTGATGCTCCTCATCATGAACCTCACGCTCTTGTTGATGGTCGTGCGAACTGCTTGACCTCGACATACCTCCTCTTCTCTGCTGATTCCGGATGTCTCTCAAAGTACGCTCAATCTACGGATCGTAGACTAAGTCTTCTCTCCGAGTAGAGCTCCTTGTCATGCACTAGAACCCTGCAAATCGCAAAGAAAAAGAAGAACTCGAAACCAAGTGAATCCGCAAAAACCAAAGAAAGAAAAACAAAAAGAAAAAGGAAAAAAAGAAAAGCAAAGATCTAGAATCAATGAAGACCTAGAAATAGGCTAACCAGTCCCCGGCAACGGCGCCAAAAACTTGATACGTGTGTATCGAGTCTAAAATCTATAACCCGATTCACAACTCACCGCAAGGGTACGGATCGTCGTAACATGGGGTCGAACACGAGGACCGGTTGCGAAATCTAAACCTAAATCGAAAATATATCAAAGCAAACAAGCAAGTGATGATGGAAATACATGAAAAGAATAATAACTAAGCTAAGAATGCAATAAAAACGAGTAACCTATCCAAGAAGGATGACTACGGGTGTCGGGATCGTATTCGCGTGTATGGGTATATGCTAAGCATGCAAGAATAACGACATCGTACTTGTATTCGGGAATCATCAAGCAACAAAGATAGAGAATTCACCTCTCGGTCTACTATCTCACTATCTAGAATAACTCGTCAATCTCTCGATCTATTCAAGTTAACCCTAGATGCATGAAGAACGCTATCATCAACCCTAAATCGATTAAACCATATCTCTATGTGAATAATATGATTCATTCATCGATCTCGATCCGAAGCTAAACCCATATCTCTATGTGATTTAGAATCTCAGAATATTGGCCAAGTGGTTAGCAAACACCAATAGAAAAGAAAACATAGATCGATAAACCGAAACAAGCATAACGTCGAAATCCAAGTTAGGGTTCAATCATACCCAAAACACATACGAATCTCTAACCCATAGTCGTGGATCTACTCACGGTTCATAAAAAACAACAAAAAGCTCATAAAGAAAGAGATAAAAGAGAGGAAAGAAAGTTTCATGTAGATGTGTAGTCTCCACGATCGAATCTTCCTTCTTCTTCCCGCAATCCCGTGAACTTCTATTCTTCTCTCACCAAAAGCTCTCCAAAAGTCTGTATCTAAGTGTTCTCTAAGACTCTCTGATGTTTTAGGACATAGCTAGGGCTTTTTATAACCCTAGGGTGGCTCCCAAGAGTCCAAATCCCGTTCCAATGCTGAAAATCGCGTAACAGAATTTTTGACTGGATCCGGACCGATTCCAGGTGGATCCGGACCGGATCCAGATTCCTGGGGTCGAGCTCAGCTGTCCTGATCCGGATCGATTCCAGGTGGAAACGGCCCTGCACCGGCAGAATTCTGGTCTTCACGGTTTCGCTCATAACTTTCTGCTCCGGTGTCAGATTTATGTGATTTTGATGTCTACGCGACGCTCTGGTGTCTACGCGACGCTCTTGAAGTGCTCTTTCCAATGGTATAAGTCTCGCATGATATGGACTTCTGTAGAGAAAGTTATTGATGTTGCAATATGAGTACCTCATCCAGACATCTCCTTTAACGTTCCAATTAGCTCCTTTTCGAGTCCAATCACCTTCGAAATCTGTAACTCTGCAAAACTAGAGCACAACCGGGTTTTATATCCTAACACGCCTAGAATGCCTATGAATGCATGTGATTATCCTATAAAACCTAGACAAACTCGCACCAAAATATAGAGAGGAATAGGAGTTATCAAATCCCCCCAGACTTAAACCTTTGCTCGTCCTCGA